AACACGCGTTGTACAAGACATAATAGATTTTCCTAACAATCAACATATACCGAACCGAACTGAAAACCGTGACCACGAACCGTGAACCGAACCGAACCGTGGATTTTGTGAACCGTTCCACCCCTAATATATATAGCATGCATTATAAGACATGTAAGATGTAATTACCATAACAATGTAATCAATACATGTATATTACATGTACATCATCAATTTAGCATTTTTGGCTCATCTGTATTATTCTAATCCATTAACACATTCATTTTATTGTGATAGATTGTATAATATGTTATATTACATGATTTATAGACTTCATTGACTTCATAATGACTATGCAATGAGATGTGACAATTTAAAAAAAAATTATAACTTAAAGTAATCTACAGATGCTGTGAAACAGCCAGCGTGTCTCGAAGTGATTAATTTATTAATTTGTCTTGAATCCCCCTCAAAATCAGAACATCAGTGTTGTTTAATGCTTTAGCGCACGGATTGGTTACATTTCGACCGGTCTAACTGGGGAGTACCAATATGGCGGTCGGTGGCTTCACTTCAACCCCGTACTACCAATGGGCCATCAGTGATCCAGTGAATTAATGGAGATCAGTGCAGTGGACGTAGCTGTTAGCTAAGGGACTTGACACTAGTTATCCATGTTAGCTGGAAAATTAGCAAAATGACCTGATCTGTGGCTTTGTAGATGGAAAGCTGTTTGCGTGTTCTTCCTGACCGAATTGGATTTATCGGATAGCGATAGTTGGAAACAAATCAGGAATGTGATCCACCTCAGATGCTACTGCTGCTGTGATTGGTGATTAACCCAATCAGCTCTAATGATTGTACTTTAGTCAACACTTTCCACATCAGCCTTTCCAGATGGATACCATGTAGAATACAGCCGTCCATCTGGCTTTTATCGGATTCTGCCTGAATTTAATTTAGTTTTCTGCACCTAATGTTTGTTTTAGTTGCTGAGGAGTTCCTCCATCATCACAGGCAGGTGTTCTAATGTAAGACGTTGAAATTAAATAAAGGTTTCTTGTTTTAACTGTAATTTTAGCCAAATGAGGGTTAAACACAAATAAGACAAAAATTAGAAATCTGACTAAAAAGATTTGTCTGAAAGTTGAAGTCTTAAGAAAAAATCATCTCAGATCCCACTCATATTCTCTATTCAGAGTATCAGTTTCTTCGTTCAGGTCAACATCTTAGAGTCCTCGCCTGTAGATTGAACCGCTATAAGAACTCATTTGTTCCACTTTCCATTAAGGCAATAAACAGTATCAAGCTGTAAACTGTGGAATAGTTAATGGTATTCAAAATTGAAACCAAACTGATATGCTTTTTTTATTTATTCATTATCTCACATAACAGTTTTTTTAAAGAAGTGTTTTCATACATTTTTATTGTATTTATTTATGGTGAATGTAAGGTAACATGCTTCCTTATGTATTTATTTACTGTCTTATCATGGAATGTTTATAGCAGTGTTTTTATGTGTGAATGCAGTGTGACACATAGTTTAGACTATGTAGACACCAGAGTCTGAACCCAAATCAAATTCCCTTTGGGACAATAAAGTTAATCCTATTTTTTCTCAAATTAAGTGAAAATTAAGTTTTCCTGTAGTCTGGGTATCCGCTTTAAACTTACAGCCTGCTGGTTCTAGAGTTTCCTGGTTGAGTTCGGTTCTGCTTTTTCTTTGTGGCGTTCTGTAATGGTGTTCTGTCAGACCAGCATACCCATAATCAATACGCAAAACGTCAGATTTGCGTGTATCCATTTAGTCTTGTATGAAAAATAGACTTTAGCCTACCTCTACAGGCGTGTATCCCTGTGCAAAAAAACAATTTAAGGTCAGATCACTATGTACTTCAAAAAACACAAAAAAGCAAGTAATTCGTTTTTTTTGTACATGACTAAAGGGATATACGCCGGTTCATCCCAAAGAGTAATCCTAAAGAGATAAACAGGTATGGACTATGGATATACTGGTCTGATCATGTATGCTCATCTGAGCAGGTCGGCTCAGTTAGTTCATTTGATCCATTTTTTTTTTTTTTTTTTTTTTTTTTATGGCTTGTTTTTTTGATTGTAGGCCAGGGTTTCCGTAGGTCCTTAAAAAGTCTTAAAAGGCATTGAATTCTTCAAAATAAAATTAATGCCTTAATTGGTATTAAAATGTCTTAAATCAGTCTTTCGTGGGTCTTAATTTTTAAAACATCATAAATAGGATCATTTTTATTACGTTTTATTTTTGTAATCTAAATAAAACATTAAAATTGAAAACATTTTTTTTTTTTTTTTTTTTTAAATATAACGGCTCGCCATTATTGGTTCCGTCCCGATAGCGGAACCAATAAAAGCGTTGTTGCGGCCGGGACATTGGGGAGATGCACCATTTACTTTTTGTCTGGAAAATATGAGCAGGTGTAAATGTAACCAAAATTGTCTCCAGCCAAGAGTTTCCTCCATGGCTAAAACCAGGGAACATACATGAGGCTCAGTGGATTTATGCAAGAAGTCATTCAAGCTCAGAACGATGGGAATTAAGGCAGTGGAGTCGCACATGCGAAGCACGAAACACAAAGCGTCAAAATGGAGTTACAGAGAAACAGCCGGTATTTCTCAGTTTAGTTCCACCCTTGTCTCTGCAACGCCTCCACTTATCACCAAATCAAACATACTAAGAAAACCATACAAAGAAAAATAGCTGCTAAAAAGACCTAGCACTGGTTATGTTGGGGCTTTAAAACTGATTTGTTTTGTTCCCTGCTAAAACAAAGTTTGTGAATTCAGTTAAATAATTGTTAAAATATATCTGTCATTTGTGTGTTTTTAGCTTTCTTCCTGTATGGGAAGCTTTTCAAAATTTGAAACATTAGTGCAGTGGTTTATGTTAAAATAAACCTTTGGGTTAAGTTGTTTGTTTGTTGTTTTTCTTGTGTTTCTTGTCAATTTGGTCTTTAATTTTTATTTCAAGTGGCAATTAAGTCTTAATAAGTCTTGAATTTAACTTGCCTAATGCTGTAGGAACCCTGGTAGGCTGACGGGAAAGGGGGAGAGACATGTGGCAAAGGACCTCAGGTCCGATTCTGACCCGGGTCGGCCGCGTTGGGGACTAAGGCCTCCTTATGTATGTCGGTCATGCTAACCACTGCGCCACTGAAGCACGACCATTTTGATCCAAGTTTACAGAACTTTTATTGAAGCTGCTTGTTTCTGTGTTCAAAAAGAACCTTTTGCTGAGAAGCGGGTCGGACCGGGTCGCTGGAGCCCAGCCACTTTAAAACAGAACCTTCTAGTAGTGGTTCTACTGGATTCACCTGGACCAGCTCTTTAAGCTGTAATCATCCAGAAAGTTCTGTAAAAACCCAAAGAGCGACCCTGATTCTGGCTTCTTGTTCGGACCTGCAGGTTGGACCTCCTGAAGCAGACCAACCGGACCGAGCAGCAGACGGCAGCTTCGGTACCCTCCCCTCCAGCGGCCCTCTGCCTCCTCATCTCGTGGTTAAGGAGGAACAAGGTAAGTTCTGATGGGTCCAGCTCATTCTCCCAGAACCCTTCAGAGTTCTGCTTCTAATCCTGATCCGTTTCAGTGGAAGGTGGTGTCGCCGGCCCGGTTCCTGGGGTCACGGGTCAGGGGTACTCTGGAGGAGGAGGAGCCCAGTGGGACCGAGGAGCCAACCTGAAGGAGTACTACGCCCGCCGAGACGAGCAGGAGGCCCAGGCGGTACCAGGCCCGCTTCAAACCGCCTCTATGACCGGTTCTAGACGGTTTGTTCTGAAGGCTTTGTTCTCCTTCTCAGACCTTGGAGTCGGAGGAGGTGGATCTGAACGCCAACCTCCACGGGAACTGGACCCTGGAGAACGCCAAGGCCCGTCTGAACCAGTACTTCCAGAAGGAGAAAACCAGTGCTGAGTATAAATACAGCCAAGTGGGACCGGACCACAACAGGTCTGGACCAGAGAACCCTGTGGGTCTAAGAACGGCAGAACAAATCCAGACCGAGGCGTCAAACACAGAAACCCAAATCTGCTTCAACACATTTAGGTCCAATGGACCGGATCGGACCTACCAGTTTAATGTTGAGTTGATTGGGTTTGATAATCTGAGAGGGAAACATCAGAACCGCAGCAAAGGGACGTGATTCTGCCTCGGTCTGGATCTGGTTCTGACCTCTCTGTAGCCACAGGTTCTGTTTTAAGTTTCCTTCCACTGACCCCAGATAGGGAAAACGGACTCCGTGAACAGAACCACAGAATGAATGAATGGAGGCGGTTTGAGATGTCGTCCAATCAGAGGAGAGCAGTGATGTCACAGGAAGCTGTAGATCCTCCATCAGGACGCTTATCACAGAAATGTTCTGGATTCGTTTAGAACCAAAGCGGTTCTGTCTCTAAGCTATGCAGGGGATGCATGAGTCCAGTTCATCAGAACATACCAGCAGAACCGAGTCTGAACCAGAAATGTTTTACCTGGACTTTCCAACAGAACCAGAACCTAACAGCTAACAGTCTAAGCTGTGGTTCCGTTAGGTCAGTTTTTTCTACCATTGCAGATCAGTCGGTGTCAGAAATCAGAACCTTTGTTTCGTGGAACAGAACCCGGCTGGGCGGCGCCTCCTCGGCCGGGTTCTGTTACACGGCTGTCAGGAAGTCCCTGAATGTGTTTCTGCCGGACCGCTGCAAACCCAGAGACCTCCAGGGTGTGTCGGCTACACCAGAGAGATCTCACTGATCCAATGTCCCTCAGCGTCCGATCAGAACCCAGACCTCATCAGAACACCAGCCCAATGTTTGGTACCGAGCCTGTGAATGTTTCATTGGGTTAGTTGGGGCCCAAGGCTGCAGGTTCTGCTCCAAAATAAAATGCCTGACAATCAGATGAGTTCTCAGGTTAGGGGCTGTTCTGGTTCTGGTACCAGATATTGGGCTGGTGGGTCGGCAGAATCTGAGCCTTAGTTTCTTGCTCTGTTAGAGGTGACACCAGAACTCCCAACCGACCCGAGGAAGACATGGGACCGCCTTTAGATGCCCTAAAGCCGTCCCATGGGCGGGGCTAGCTGGAGTCTGGTGGTGATTTCTGGTGTCCACCGCAGGGTACCGCCCGGCCCGGGAGAACCATCCTGAAAGTCTGGCAGAAACACATCTGGGTTTCCTCCTGAGAGTCCGACCGGTGAGTTCAGCTCCCGCCAGGGGGAAGACGGTGGGCGGCTTTTATTGTGAAAAACACCGGAAGTGAATCCGAGCCGTTTGTGTTTGCAGGAGCTTCATCGCAGAGATGCAGCTGTTCATCCGGCAGCTCGGCAGAAGTAAGGCCTCTTCTGATCCGATCGCCCCGCAGGCTTTGTCCCGAGCTGACCCTGTTCTGGTTCTCCTCAGAGATCACGGCCCGGGAGCACGGCTCCAACAAGAAGCTGGCGGCCCAGTCCTGCGCGCTGTCTGTGGTCCGGCAGCTGTATCACCTGGGCGTCATCGAGGCGTACTCTGGAATCACCAAGAAGAAGGAGGGAGAGACGGTACGCGCCCAGCCTGCTCAGACAGAACCAGAACCATCCACCAGAACCAGAACTTGATCAGCTGCTTTTGTCCCCAGCTGGAAGCGTTCGAGGTCCAGGTGGCTCCAGATCTGCAGCAGAACCTGGTGGCGGTCGTCCAGGAGCTGGGAGTCCACATCCCCCCACCTGTGAGTCCTTTTAGGGTCCAATCCGAGCTGCGCGATACCGGGCCGGCCCTACATTCTGAGGGATTACTGAGGTCCAGATCATTATGGAGTGAAGGACACCAAATGGGCTTAAAGCTGCAGAATTTCTACCGGTTCTGTGTGAAAAACGGAATCGAGTCGACCCATTTAACCGAGGAGAGCATTGCTGCCAACTTTAGACAGGAAAAGGTTCCGATGAACATTTGGTTCTGAACCGACTCCAGATGTTCTGTCAGATGTGTAGGATGAGTTTACCTTCTTTTTGGTTCTGGAGGCCCAGACCGATTGGACCTTTAATAATGAATGTCTGCTGAGTTCAAGGCTGGATGTGGAGGAAGGTTCTGATCCATTTCTCCAACTAACCCGTCGTTAAAGAACCGTTCGGTCCAGCGGGTCAAACAGAACTTAAACTCTGTTAGTATAAAAAGCAGCAACAATAACTTATCGATGATCGAATCAGATCGTTTTAATCTGGATCCATTGTTAATCTGAAGTGGTCAAACTGCACCCCCTGCTGGTCTGAAGCTGCATTTAGCTGAAACGTTAAGATTTAAGTTACAGAGGAAAATCTTTTATTTCTGGGTGGATCATCCAAATCAGTGGTCCTCCTAACTGTCAATCAATCAGGCAATATGTTTACGTAAGGCCGTCCTACGTGCTTGCCCAGTTAGCTATCTGTTCCTGCTCATGTGCATTTTCAGGCGTATATCTGTGGTGAGCTACGGTTTCATTGAAGCTCACCTTTCTCATCGCCGTTCTTGGAAAATGGCCAAAAAGTGTCATAGAAGAGTATGAGAAGAAAAAGGCCTCAGAAGAGGCAGATATATCCCAGAATGCTTTGATAGGAGAACTCTCCTCGCAAAGCATTATGGGATTTGCTGTCACAGCAGCCCAATGTCACTACCCGACAGCGGCGACTATAGGAAGACCAGCAGTTATGTTCTGAAAGGTTCTGATCATACCCGGAAGCAGGTTGGTTTCAGAGGGCACTGAGCTCCTGGTTCTGGTTTCGCCGGTCGGCCTCTCGTCTTCCTGCTGTAACCTGTAATCATCTGTTGGTTCACAGCCTGTGGATCCCAGCGCTCCAGTATCTCTGGTTCAGGGGAAGATGGCCTCCTTTGAGCCGTCTCAGAAGCAGATGAGCAGCGGCGTGGTTCCCTGGTCGCCTCCACAGGTTAACTGGAACCCCTGGACCAGCAGCAACATCGATGAGGGGCCGCTGGCCTACGTAAGATGCCGCCGCCTCTGATGTGTGAAGGTCTGCGGCTGTTTACGGCGGCCCGCTCTCATCTTGTGGCTCCTGTCTGTTCAGTGCACTCCGGAGCAGATCAGCACAGACCTTCATAGTGAGCTGATGTACCAGCTGGACCACGATGAGAACCTGCAGAAGGTCAGTCTCCTTCCACCCCGACCTTCTGCTGCTTTGTTCAGGCCGAAACGTTTACCCGCTTCCTGGTGTCGTTCAGATCCTGTCGGAGCGAGAGCAGCTTCCTGTCAAGCATTTTGAGGAGGAGATCATGGCGACGGTGGATAAGAACCCGGTGGTGATCATCAGAGGAGCGACGGGCTGCGGGAAAACCACACAGGTCCCTCAGTACATCCTGGACCGCTTCATCAAAGGAGGCCGAGCGTCCGACTGCAACATCATAGTCACACAGGTAACCCTCGACAACCGAGCCCAGATCACACCGCTGTCTGCGAATGGATCCGGTCTCATCTCGCTCTCTGCAGCCCAGACGGATCAGCGCCGTGTCTGTGGCTGAGCGGGTCGCCTACGAGAGAGGAGAGGATGTGGGGAAGAGCTGCGGCTACAGCGTCCGCTTCGAATCCATCCTCCCCCGACCGCACGCCAGCGTCCTCTTCTGCACCGTCGGTATGTAAGCTCCTCCTCCTCCAGCAGGGGGAGCCCCGCCCACCGGCTGGTTTATTAAAGCTGGATTATCCACTAAATCCAAAATGTTCTTTACAGCAAAACAGTGATGAGTTTAAAAGGTTAATAAGAATCACATTTTCTCATCAGCTGAACCCAGAGGAGCATTTAGTTTTTATCGTTATATAAACATCAAAATCACCATGATAAAGTCTCATTTTAAGCAGAAACCTTAATTGAATTAATTCAAAACTAACTTGGTTTAAACAAACTATGATTTATATAATACAACAGGAGGTATGCTGGTGGAGATTATCAGTCATCCAGCTCATAGTCATTCCACAATGTTAAAAACAATCCACTGGACTTTGTTTCCAAGTTTGAAGACGTTTCGCTTCTCATCCAGGAAGATTTCTCGATTAAAAATGTCTGGATTAGCGATGAGTTCCAGGCTTTTTCGCCCAACCTTCTAATTAGAAAAGGTGCACATTGAAGCTGGGAGCTGGTTTTCCAGCTGTGATTACCAGAGGAAGGGAGCAGAGAGGGGAGGAGCCTTTGGATCGGCGCTGACAAGATTCTTGTCTCTCTTCCTCAGGTGTTCTCCTCCGGAAGCTGGAGGCTGGGATCCGAGGAATCAGCCACGTCATCGTAGATGAGATCCACGAGAGAGACATTAATGTGAGTTCACAGGCCACCCAGAACCGGACCCACTTCTAGGTTTTTCTCACCGCCTCTCTGTTCCTGCAGACCGACTTCCTCCTGGTGGTCCTCAGGGACGTGGTCCAGACCTTCCCCGATGTTCGCATCATCCTGATGTCGGCTACCATCGACACCACCATGTTCAGGGAGTACTTCTTCAACTGTCCCATCATCGAGGTGTTTGGACGCACTTTCGCCGTTCAAGGTGAGTCCAACCCGTCTCCTCTGAACCAAATCTTTCCTGAAGGACCTTTAGGAATTCCAGCTTCTTGTCTCAGAGTACTTCCTGGAAGATTGCATCCAGATGACCAACTTCATCCCCCCGCCGATGGACCGCAAGAAGAAGGACAAGGACGAGGAGGGAGGAGACGATGATGTGAGAACTTTGGGTTTGTTCTGGTCCTGAAGGTCTGCAGCCTGGTTCCACCGGCTCATCTCTGGACCTTCTCCTCTCTGCAGACCAACTGTAACCTGATCTGTGGTCCAGAATACACGCCGGAGACCAAGCGCTCCATGGCTCAGATCAACGAGAAGGAGACGTCCTTCGAACTAGTGGAGGCGCTGTTGAAGTACATCGAGACGCTGAAGGTGGCCGGCGCCGTGCTGGTCTTCCTGCCGGGCTGGAACCTCATCTACTCCATGCAGCGCCACCTGGAGATGAACCCTCACTTCGGTACCTGAAGCCCGGCACGCCCAGTCCCAGAAACCCCCCTGACAGGAGTTAATGTGGTGTTGTTGGTTTGGTTCCAGGAAGTAGCCGGTACCGCATCCTGCCGCTGCACTCCCAGGTCCCCAGAGAGGAGCAAAGGAGGGTGTTTGAGGCGGTTCCTGAGAACGTCACCAAGGTGAGTGCTGGGGAACCCAGAGCCTCATGGCTTCAGTCAGATGAAGTTAAAGTGGTTCTGCTCTCACAGGTCATCCTGTCCACCAATATCGCCGAGACCAGCATCACCATCAACGACGTCGTCTACGTCATCGACTCCTGCAAGTAAGGCAGTCCTGACCCTCTGCTGGAGGAGTCCTCCTCTCAGCGGCAGATTAAACCCTGAGTTCTTCCTGACAGGCAGAAGGTGAAGCTCTTCACCTCCCACAACAACATGACCAACTACGCCACCGTATGGGCCTCCAAGACCAACCTGGAGCAGAGGAAAGGCCGAGCCGGCAGAGTCCGACCCGGATTCTGCTTCCACCTGTGCAGCCGCGCACGCTTCGACAAGTACGGCCCGCCAACCTGAAGCCGACCGGAACCCCATGAGCTCCGAACTTTAACAGTGTTTGTGTTCCTGCAGGCTGGAGACCCACATGACCCCAGAGATCTTCAGGACGCCTCTGCACGAGGTCGCCCTCAGCATCAAGCTGCTGAGACTCGGAGGAATCGGAAACTTCCTGTCCAAGGCCATCGAGCCGCCGCCACTGGACGCAGTCATCGAGGCGGAGTACACCCTGAGAGGTGGGAGGAGCTCTGATGGACCGACGCTTGCAGAGATGTTTAACAATTTAACCTTCCAGTTGATAAAAGGCCTGCAGAGGCTCACAGAAACCTCCAGAGGGCGCTGTTAGACAGAGAGGCTGATTTATTCTAGAGAGGGCTTTTTTTACTGTTTTACTATTTGAGACCTTCATCTGGTTGTTAGATAAATCAACCAAATGATGATTGGATTAAAGGAAATAAAATCAAATATATTGAATATTTTAGCAGCTGTGATCTTTCTGTAAAGGTGAGCAAATCTCTGCTTCACTGAAAAGCTGGAACCAAGTTAGAAATCTGCTTTTTTATTATAGAGAAAAAAGAATATATCTGAAATGGTTTTGATTTTTATTCATGAAAGAATTTCAAGGATTAATCAAATAAAAAATAATGAATAAAAAATAAATAAAATCCCATAAAATTTATTCAAACCGTGGATCAAATAAACTAAGAAATTAATGGAAACATTCATTAGATTTATGGGTTCTCTCAGACTTTCTGACCTGCTGGTTCCCAGTTCTGCTCCTAACTGGTCTAACTGGTGTTTTCAGAACTGGACGCCCTGGACTCCAACGACGAGCTGACTCCTTTGGGTCGGATTCTGGCCCGGCTGCCCATCGAGCCTCGGCTGGGGAAGATGATGATCATGGGCTGCATCTTCCAGTCAGTCTCTCTGCTCCCCTGCTCTCCTCTCAGCTGATGTTCCCCCAGACTGACCGCTGTCCCTCTGTCTCCCCCTAGTGTTGGAGACGCCATGTGCACCATCTCTGCCGCCACCTGCTTCCCGGAGCCTTTCATCAACGACGGGAAACGCCTCGGTTTCGTCCACAGGAACTTTGCTGGGAATCGCTTCTCGGACCACGTAGCGCTGCTCTCGGTCTTCCAGGCCTGGGACGACGTTCGGTAAGCCGAGGTGGTCCATCAGAACCTTCCTCTGATCAGAACTGGAACCAAACGCCTGTCGTCTACCTGCTCAGGGTTAACGGTGAGGAGGCTGAAACCCGTTTCTGTGAACACAAGCGTCTGAACATGTCGACTCTGAGGATGACCTGGGAGGCTAAGGTCCAGCTGAAGGACATCCTGGTGAACTCCGGATTTCCTGAAGGTACCTGAACGCCCCACAGCCTTTGTGCAGAACCCTGAGCTCAGAGTCATAACGATCTATTTCCCTCCTCAGAGTGTCTGATGAACCAGATGTTCAACACGGTGGGACCGGACAACAACCTGGACGTGGTGGTGTCCCTGCTGACCTACGGCTCCTACCCCAACGTCTGCTACCACAAGGAGAAGAGGAAGATCCTGACCACCGAGGGCCGCAACGCCCTCATTCACAAGTCCTCCGTCAACTGCCCCTTCAGCAGCCACGACATCAATTACCCGTCACCCTTCTTCGTCTTCGGGGAAAAGGTGCGGTGCAAGGGAGTGGGCCGCAGGAGGTTCTGAACCTTTGGACCCGTGTCCTTCTGACCCTGTTTGTGTTTCAGATCAGAACCCGGGCGATCTCTGCTAAAGGCATGACTCTGGTGAGTCCTCTGCAGCTGCTGCTGTTCGCCTGCAAGAAGATCAGCTCCAACGGAGAGATAGTGGAGCTGGACGACTGGTGAGAACCTGAGAATGATAGATGATTCTATAGGGGAACCTGGGAGTAAGTGATAGACGGTTCTGTAGGGGAACCTGAGAGTGAGAGAGAGACGGTTCTATAGGGGAACCTGGGAGTAAGTGATAGACGGTTCTGTAGGGGAACCTGAGAGTGAGAGAGAGACGG